GGAAAGAGACGAAGAGGTATCTGAGTTACGGTTAGAATGAGAAGCCAGAGACGCGGGGCTGATAGAAAAACTATTGGATACCTCTCTATAATCTATGATTTCATTCCACATGGCAAGAAATCACATGCATAATCGGGAACGCCATTTCTCAACCGAGATTGGGCGAAGCAGAATCATGGCAAATCAAATAAAAAGATAAAATAATTTAAGGTAAGATAACCAAAAAGATCTCTGAGATTAGGGCGTCCATAGTAGTACAGCAACCACTTGCGTAAACATAAATAAACAAAAGCAGAAATTCATCAACTCAATCTAAAAAAATGCTTTGAATTCCAATCCCAAATTCATAAAGTAAGCCACACATTATCCTTACTCTTCCCCGCTAGCGTTCTCTCCGCTCTTGCTGTTGTGCTTCCTCGCGTACCTCTGGTTCCTTAGGAACTTCGGGTCCATCTACAGATTTTTCATCCAATTTCAAAAAATCAAATAACCAAACCTAAATCTCCAGACCCGAAATCGGATGAGAAACACTGCAACGATCCGGTTTTTTCAGGAAAGAAATGTTAAAGACTTACTCCTTTGGTCGAAGTGTGACGGTGCCTTCTCGGCTTCTTTATTCCGTTCTTATGCGCCTTGTGCGACTGGTTGTGAGCAGTGTGATTCTTCGACTTCGCCATCTATGCATCACCACCAAACGCCGCAAAACATCAATCACACAGGAAAATAAGCATCAAAGACGAACACAGGGTTCAACGATATGATCGCCAAAGGAAATCGCCGGAGAAAATGAAACGAACCCGAGATCCGAGAGAGAGATCCTCCGATAGGCTGAACTTCTAGGGTTTCTCCTCCAACACAAAAAAAAATTAAGAGACCCTACCGAAAGCCCCAGCTTATGGTGCTTTATACTGGCCATTAAATTACCAAATTACCCAACCCATAAAGTCGGTGGGCTTTTTAGAATTTGGGCCGACTAATACTCTCAAGGCCCATTTTCTGAGCGCAAAAGAAACGCAGACCCTTGGTTCTTCTAACCGGATCAAGAACCGTATGAACCGATTCAAATAATCCGAAATTCCCCCAATCGATTATTTCATAAAATCTACATCACTCGAATAATGTAGTCATTAATCATTATATCATCATGTTATAAAGTCAATGCTCTATTAAGAAAATAATTTGAAATGACGTGCAGTAAAAAATAAAATCCAAGAACCCAATCGAAACATACCAAAAGTAAATTGGTATCAATCCGCTAGATTTTTTTTTTTTACTCAATTCGAATATTTCAAAACCTTTGAATTCTATAACCGATAAATTCAAGTCGAATCCGGTTTGGTACAATTTTCCTCCAAACTCAAACCGGATCCGGAATCTAATTTGGCTCACGTTGGGAAGGAAGAAACACTACAAATTACGGATATGCCATTGCAGGGTGTGGAGCTGGCGACCGTGTAAACGACACTGCAACAGAGCTGGAAAAAAACCCCAAGGCTTTATGATTATTTATTTATTTATTTATTAGATCTCCGTTATTTTTTCAAATCCTCTTCTCTGCAGATCCAACCTAGCTATTCTTCCTCTCCTCCGACATCGAAGAATTCTACAGCAGATCCGTTTAATCTGAAGATCTAGCGATGTTTCTATTCGATTGGTTCTATGGGATTCTCGCGTCGCTTGGCCTCTGGCAGAAGGAGGCCAAGATTCTCTTCCTCGGCCTCGATAATGCCGGAAAAACCACTCTCCTTCACATGCTCAAAG